CAAGACCCTGTGTTATTATTTGTTTGATGTTTAACCATACAGATTAGAGACTATATTTAACTAAAACTAGAATATTAATAGATGACTCTTTTTCTCCCTAAAGGTTTTATGCACAAAGCTATCATCATCTCACTATACGTCCCCACTGAGCTCGGAGCCTATCCTTAGTTAAGGGTGAATAGGCCATAGTCAACCACGCTGGCCAAGTGCGGGTTGGTTGACTTCACTCATATCTTTGAATTTCTTCTCAGATATATGCAGGTTGCATCACGATGTTTTCCTTCGCTGTAAGAACGTCGGATAAATGTACTTATGTAAGTCGGAAAATAGAAAAACACATTGGTACATGGCGGGATTCGAACCCAGGACCTGCAGATTGCAAGTCAAGTGCTTGACTCCTGAGGCACCGACGCTCTCTTATCACGGTTAGAATTAAAAATAAAACAATTCAAAAATTATTTATATTTATTAATAACGAAATCATATTTGGCACAAAAAATTACAAAGATAATCGTAAGATCAAATGTTTATTTTTTTTATTTACCAACAGAAAAAATCTCTTGAACTTCTTAATTTAACTATTCAATACGGTAATTAAAAAACTCAGTGAAAAAAAATCTCAACAAAACTCGAATTTATTTTAATTTTTTAGTGAATAGAATTTTAAATATTAACAGTAAATGACTATTACAAAATATTCTGGAAAATTATCACTGACTTTTTTAATATCTTAGTCTACAAAAAAATCTCTATTTATCTATCGAGTTATTATTCTAGAACAGCCACGTTTCCTATTTTACTAATATCGAACTATGAGTTGTAAATAAAAATTTACTTTGGCACTTGTTTTGTCTTTTCACGGGAGTTTGAGATACAATGGAGAGAAGAACTGAAAGCTCCAATCGACTGTCATCTGTCCAAGTTTTTGTACGTCAATTTAACGATTAAAAAAAATGTTTTTCTTATGTACCGGAATTAAAAACAGCGCTGAAGCGGAATGCATTCATAGCTGGATAAAAAAAAATTCTATTTTTTTTAATTTTTGATGACCGTCGTTGCTATGACTACAATCCATAGAGTTTTAATTTACATATAAAGTAAATGGTTTTATGTACATATGTAGTATATTTAATATTAGTATCGTTATTTTTGATCATTCTGACATCTAATGAGCAAAAACAGTTTTTATCCCGATTGTGGTATTAATTTTAAGTTTCTGACCACAATATTAACAGACGAGCTTAGCACCAAGAAAAGTTTCATGATTCATAAAGTGAATATCGCTTTTATTCTTCAATTTATCAATTAAGGTCATAGCTAATCTAAATGAGTATTACCACTGAGAAAATATTAGACGAAGAATCAGAGAGGAGTTTTATTTAACATGTTGGACAACCATATGGAAGTAGACATCATATACTTTAAAAAGTTTAAAAGTAAAAAAAAAACCATTGTAACATAAATACGTTGGCATTAGTTATAACAAATATTGAATTTTACTTTATAACAAAGCCTCATAATAATTATTATATTTTATCCTTGCCTATTTTCACAAAAAAAGTTAAATTCTTTTGGCGTTTTGAAAGTTTATACTTATACTAGCGGACCCGACAGACGTTGTCCTGTCTACACGTCTTTAATTTGAATAAATTAATATGAAGTTAATATTTGATAAAAACTGTGAATCTAAACCATTCCCAGATCCCCTTGAACACACACAAAAAATTTCATCAAAATCGGTCCAGTCGTTTGAGAGAAGTTCAGTGACATATACACTCACAGAAGAATTATATATATAAAGATTAAATATAAACGAAGACTCGCTTATGTTCGTTAGGATTTGGCACAATTCAACAATTATTTATAATTTTATTAACATAATTTCTAAATACAATTTTACAATTTGATCACTGTATCGTCTTTCATTTATAAAATATACAAAATGTTTGTGATTTTATTTTACAATATCTATCGATTTAACTACATTTGGTCGAGGTGTATTCAATTTGAAATGTGATTCTCTATTACAATATTTAAATCTTCTTGATGTTTAATTAGAAAATGTGTAAACAATTTAATATGACGAAAATACAACTTTTTTATCATTTTACTATTTTTTAGTAATAATTAGAACATTTTTAAGGAAGATCGTTACTTAGATGAAATCTTTAATTTAATGAGATATTTGTTTTTACCTATTATTGGGGTTTCATAGCTAAATTTTAAGGTAAAAATTCAATAAGTTATTTGATATCTACAAAATATAAAATCTCTTAGAACTAACACGAATTGTTATTAGGACTGCTAAGATTTGAACTGCTAACTACACTTGTATCAGTTTTAACATTTACATCTACATTTGAGTTAATTTCATCTTTTGAATACAAATTATTACAATCGTCATCTGATACATTATGATTTTCCTTCACTTTATTTACATTACTATCTTCTTCTTTACTTACGTTTGCACAATTTTCTTCACAATTGTCATCAATACTATTTCTATTTGAATTTTCTGACATTGATTCTCTCTTTTCGATTATTACATCAACACTTGGTTTGAATGCATCTGTGTCTTTTTTATTCTTATCTGGTAGATCTGGAGGTCTGACAGTTGATAGTGTACTGGAAAGGAAAGAAGATTGAAGGTTGTAGCCTGGTAGGAGTTTAGGTTGCAATGGTAGCATCAGGTCTAGGGCTCCTGTGGTGGCAGGTCGCGGTTGCAAGGGCGGGGCGGTCATCAGAGGTGGTTGTAATGATGCCAATGAGATAGCACCGCATTGCGTGTTGATGATGGGACTCTCAACTGAAAATATAAAAAGGGACATATCACTACTTAAAATGTACTGGTAGATATATGGTGGGTTATTAATGGGGACTATAATCTAGGTTCAATTATTATTAGTGCAGGAATTTAACTGAATATTTCTTTAGACAATTCATAGTAATTATTCTCATGATTGTATAAGGATCCTGTAAAAAAGTGATAGTGTTACTTTATGGTTAATTTTCTGTTACCTATCGGAGCTCTTGCTTGTAACGGTTGCGTGGTGGCTGGAGGTCTGAGCAGGTTTGGTGGACCTTGAAGTGCCAAACTTATCATATTCATTCCATTAACACCTGAAAAACATTTTATTTTATTAATCTTCTCCGTTCCTAAAATTGTAGTAATCTTAAATTGAGATGGGAATTAAAGTTATAAAGTTGCGACATTGAAAGACCGATTAAAAAGGGTAGAATTGTGGTCCGTAGAAGTATTTTGCAATTAACGCCATCTATCCTTAAAATTTGAAAACATTACGACCCCTTACCAAACTTATTGTTCGCTGGCGATAGGTCCTTCAGAACCACTGGGTGTTTAACTGCATTCACCCTCCGATTGGAGGCGCTGGCGTCGCGTTTCCTTCGTGGTTGTTCCACTGGTAGAACTCGTCGCCGCTTCTTAGGCAGTTTTGATCTTGCCTGCAAATAGATGGCGTTATTGTAAAATATGTTTTCTAGTAAAACATAATAATGATTTTGAGTGTATTATTTATAATGACCTAAATAATTGTATTTAAAACCTGAAATACATATAATAGCCTACTTTCGTGTACATTTAAAAATCAAGTCCTTATCACAGTAATAAAATAAAACTTTTTTGACACTTTTTTGGATATATCTCTTTTCAAGAGTAAGATGCAATTTTTCTTATGATTGCATTAATTATTTGCCTTTAAAATTATTAAAACTTTTCAGAGACATGAAATAAATTTCCCGTGTGGTAAACTATTTGGTATGCACCGTGATTATAGCTATAATTAAATTAATTTATTAATTTCTTCCCTGGTTAGTGATATCTTGTCATAGAAAATCAAGACATACAATAATAATTTACCCACACAATTAATTAACAGAAGTATTTAATATAATACTCAGAAGCAGATTGTTTTGTAGAGTATTAGGGGCAGTAAATTAGTCGCGAGCGGGCAATTTGTGCCACCTCTGATTAAATTCTCTCGCCTTACAAGTGATTTGTAGGCTCAATCTTTACTGCCTTCATTAACTGAATAGTTGGTTAATAAACTTAGCAATAACTCCTGTAAAGCTTACTCGATCTATTTCTAATTAAACGTCCATTATATTTCGTTACTTTGTAATATGACAAACTTAATCAATACTTAAAGTCCTGTTACATATGTAAAATTTGTGTTTTAGTGTTTTTCTAACGAAACTCAAAAACTACTTTTATACCTTTCAAAAAATATCAAATTATCAATTACAAAATTAATGCTAAATAGTCATATAAAATAGTTTCTTTAATTTGTTTAGTTCTAATATGCATAATCTGGCTAACGATGCACTAAGTAAATCTCCGTATTACTTCACCGAGGTCGTATTCCAAGAGTCTGCTGTGAGCTGCCGCAGAGGATTGTATAATATTATCTCTGTTGCTCTGAGACTCAAATTGAAAATGTTCTCTACGCGGATATTTTGAGGTTAATTTATTTAGAAACTACGATTAGTTTATACGTTGTCTAAAAACATCTCATCTGAAGTCTGATGCGCTACACGATTGAGTTTTAGAGTTTGGTTAATAATACAGGAGATTCTTGAAGAGAATCGTTTGATATCGATGTTATTATGTTTCTATTTACTAGATCTATTTATTTCATTTAATTACGTACGTTAATGATACGAGGATAACACTATGGGGTTTCACGGAAGATCAGCGCTGAGTGGTCCAGAGAGGAACACCCAGCATACAAAGCTGAGTGAAACCTTATCCGGTCAGCATTGCAACACTCTTTGTAAATATTTCCTGTTTCTTATTAATTAATGTTTCATGTGTTATTTCTTTATAATTATTTTTATGCTGTTTTTGCTTATTGTGTTGTGATTTTGAAAGGATTAAATGTCATTTTATTCATATATAGTATATATTTATTTATTTGGATTATAATTTTGTAACCACCTGTATAAACAACTATGACATATAAGAATTATATTAGGAAAAAATTAATGTGAATATTCTGAGACTCGTGTGAAACCAAGGCACTACTCAAAAATATATATCAATTCTATATCAGTAGTCCAAAGTTAGTTTGATTGAGTTAAATGGTACAAATACCGGACAGCTTGAGAGATCCGAACTACTTTGGACTAATTCCGTTGTTACCCGTCTTACTGTTCCGGATAAATATAAATGTCAAACGCTATGTCAATTTAGTTTACATTGTTATATCAATAGATGGCGGAACATATTACTAGATCACGATATTGATTTATTTAGTATGTTTATCGACTTGCCTATCGAATTTAATTAAAGTTGACTCGCACCAAGATACAACCAGTGTTTCATTGTGACTACTCGATACTTGTCCAGTGAGAGGGAGACTTTTTTTAGACTGCTTTACAATAAATCTTAACTTTTATAGGTTGAAATTGTCTGAGTATTCTATTATTTGTCAGAATATGTTTAATATTATATTGATTAAACTGTAATAATATTATATAATACGTTATTTCCTAACGATGTGAAGAATTGTTTAGTTTTTAAGTTGAATCCATTTGTATTATGTCGAAACTTATACGGTTCTGATAATTAAATTGTCAAAAAAAGCTGGTAGTCTTGTTAACATTTTAAAATAAAGGTATTCTTAACATGTACAAACATTTTTTCTTAAATATTAGCAGATTTTTTTGTTAATTTACTATTAATATTTCTTTTACCATTCCAACTAAGCTCTATGCTTGTGCTAGGACATGGTGTACGACAATAGTCGAATGGCGGGATTCGAACCTCCGACCTCATGATCGGAAATTCGTACCCTTAACCATTAGGCTATTGACGCTTTTGATAAAGACATTCATCAATGGAATAAAGAAAATAACGATAATATCGCTTGACTTATCGTTAGTACATTAGCGAAGTGTAGGTTTTTTACGCTTGGCCGCGTTGAGGATTAAGCATCATTAATTCGTGCCGTAAATGATAAGTAATGGCTAAGGCTTTTAGGACGAACGTTGCGGTGATCTGTAGAGCAATAATTCATTTTGTTTTATTACCAATCAAGACGAAATTTATATATCGATTTAAAATTCTTTCCTATTTAAAATCAGATTTGTTCGAAATATTTTAAGATAGTAAGATATAATTTTATATAGATAATAAGTTTAATGTGAAGGATTTTATTGTATATAATCAACTTGTATCGATATGATTAAATTACATAAAAATATATGCGTAGTACATCATCGGAATGAAGGCTCCATCGCCTTAAGTAAAAAACCATAAAATAATACGCTATCAAACTTTTCAGCAACATTGAGTGACAATTCGTTGTAGAATTAAATTAATTAAATACCTCTTTATTATTAAAGGGCTATAATTCTTGTGTAAAGTTGTCATGTATTTAATTACGTCAAAGTTTTTGACATATGCCGTAGCGCGGCCAGAATTTAATAACAAGCCGTCGAGAAGTCGACAGCTGACATCGTGCTCCTAAACAAAACTTAATGAATAACTGCCCGACTTGAATAACGTACAAATTGACAAGGTACTATTTCTGTAAATAAAAGAGTTTTTTTTAAATATTTCGCTAAAATAGCGAAGTGATCATTGTACATCGACATCTGTAACAGGTTAAAAAATGGAAACGCGTCGCCTAGATTAAATAGTCAATTTCTCCTTCCTATGTGTCCCTTTCCTTGTCAAATTCACGTCTCTTTCTACCATTAAACGGGTTCCCAATGTAAATAATCTACGCTACTGTTATTTTATCTCAAACAAAGCCTAAAAGGCTATTATAAAACATCACAATATGCTGAGGCAAGGTTTAAATGCGGAGCCTATATTTAGCTCATCAAAGCTTGGTATTGATTAGTCTTGCCGGTAGCTCGTTCACCTAATTATAAGAGGTGATAACTTAATTATGATAACGTAATACATTAAATCTATTTATACTTAGGAAATATTTACTTAATATGAAGTGAAAGCTACCAAAAAAAATATTATAATTTCGAGCATATTCTGAATATTTGAAAATATTATATAGGCCACTTGTTCGATAATTAAAAAAAAACCAAAAGTATATTTTGTATCTGCTTACTTAAGTACATGGCTACGAAGTACTCTACGACGATGCTACGTCAAAAGCTACGGCTACACGATTTAATGTTTAGAATGTATTGATAGGTTATTTTAACTTATAAAAAAATTAAAAATTTATAAATTAATCGTGTGGGTATTCTATTAACAAGATTTAATATAATTTCTATAAAAGGTGGTTAAAATTTACCAACAAGTGGAACTAAAATAGGAATCCTACCAACGTATCTTTTATAAACGTTTTTAACTTAAAAATGAACGAACAAAATCATTTGTTTTCAATCTCAATTAAGGTCAAAACAGTCGACCTTTTCAGTAAATTGAAAACTATTTGCGATCAACAATTTTACAGCTCAAACTGTTTGTATTAAAATTAAACCTTAGCTCGCTTTATTGTTTTAAACTTCATAAAATTTAATATAGAAATGGCATTGGGATTAAATGTAAGAAATAATATATAAAACAATATATGTATATATCATTAGCAAAATTGGTATTTTAAAAATATGTAGTCTAATGGAACGGTTTCTTCCTGCTTAAACAACGTAAAGGATTGTTCTCAAAGGGTTTCGTGGTATTTTAATTTGCGGTTGAAAATATCAACTGAAAAATCTTTGAACTTTATGAAATTAAATGTTATATTTAAAAATATTTAAAGTACTAATGCTGAAGATATTTAGGTTATAGCAATAGCCTAATGGAGGCTAACCAATTGACCTTTTAGACGTCTGATCTAACCTAGTATTTAGGTCAAAGAGTTTTCAGAAATATTTTCAAATTTATCTCTGATCAATTTTAACAATTTGGTTGTTTTTTTTATTATTAAAAATTATAGTTATGAAAAATGACTAGCCAATTATCATTTTATGAATAACATTGAAAGATACGCAGGTAAGTAATATGGCCAGCGATAACCTAATTATTTAATGAAGAAATTTCATCTTACAAATGAGTGAATGATGAATTAATCTTTATATATATAATTCTTCTGTGCGTGTGTATGTCACTGAACTTCTCTCAAACGACTGGACCGATTTTGATGAAATTTTTTGTGTGTGTTCAAGGGGATCTGGGAATGGTTTAGATTGACAATTTTGTCCGCTGGACAATGTTTTTTTAATTAATTTTCATTTATTAGTAGTTGTTGATTTTGGAATGTTTTACATTGGATCCGACAGACGGCGCTACCATCG